ACCCCGAGTACCCTAGCAACTGCATAGCAACTGCCTAGCAACCACCCAGAGTACCTTAGCAACATCCTAGCAACCACCCCGAGTACCCTAGCAACTGCATAGCAACTGCCTAGCAACCACCCAGAGTACCTTAGCAACATCCTAGCAACCACCCCGAGTACCCTAGCAACTGCATAGCAACTGCCTAGCAACCACCCAGAGTACCTTAGCAACATCCTAGCAACCACCCTGGGTACCCTAGCAAGCACATAGCAACACCTTAGCAACCACCGAGTACCCTAGCAACCGCATAGCAACACCCTAGCAATCAACTTGAGTTCCCCAGCAACCGCATAGCAACACCCTAGCAACCTCCCAGAATACCATAGCAACACCCTTGCAACAAACCCGAGTACCATAGCAACCACACAGAAACGTCCTAACAAACAGCCGGAGTACCTTAGCGACCGCTTGGCAATATCCTAGAATCCATCCATCCATCTGTTTTTCTAATAGACTGCATTGCTTTCAAAACATTTCAACTGTAATCTTTAAAACTACGTTAAACTTCAAACTACTTCAAACCTAGCCTTCAAACTTCGAGCTTTTAAAACTTTTTCATACTTTCTGCTCTGGCTTTTCTCAAGCCAACTTCAAAGTTTTTGTTGTTTTTAAATCCTTACAGTTTTCATAAATTTTTATATTTCAGTTTTAGTTATTTTAGTACAAGTTAAACTAAACAAAAGAGAAATGTTGCCTTTGCAACGAGATACAAACATAAGTTTTCACTTTTTAAAACTTAAAGCAAGTTTATTTTCTTTCAAGTGTTATTTTCATTCAACAAAACTGTTTTTTTTATGGTTTTTGCACAAACAGCTCACAGTTGCATATTCTTCGGAAAGCTGAAAATCTCGTTAAACTCTTGTCTCTTTGTCAGCAGTAAACGGTTTCTCACTGCATTGTTTGCTGAATTGTTTAGTGTTTCTGGTAAAACACACGGGTGTAAAAATAGCAGGAGGATTTGAGTGTGTCACGCATGAATCCGGTGAAGTTTCCATGAATTCCAAACGAGTCTTCAGCGTCTTGAGTTTTGGCATCGAGTGCCGTTTTCCATCTTTTGGGTTTGTGAGTCGTAAAATCTCTTCTTCAGGCATCTAAGGGACATTAGAGGACACGTTTAACAGATGCAGCAGAGAGTACAGCCGTTAGATTCTGTGTGCAAGAAAGTCAATCGCATGAAAACTCATAATAAACCCTAAAATCAAACGAAAAAAATAACAATGAAGCCCAATTATCTTCATGACATTAAACAAATTTTCTTCTAAATCTCATTACTGTAGAGTGAAAAAAAAACTATTGACATTATTTTAATTGTAAGTTATGCATATTTCATGGAAGAATTTGTTGCACTGCCTTTACCGTATGATAATCTAAATAAAAATTGAATTACAATAATATAAAACCATAAAACTCAAAAGTGAGACTGAGAAGTTTGAGAATTTGGAGGATAAATATTCTTAATTTTCATAAAAATAATCTAATGCAAGACGTAGTATTCATTTTGCATGTAAAATATAATTTCTTATTTTTCCTTTTGATTTTGTATTGTCGGCGTGTTGATTCACCCAGTTTTTTACCTGTGAATGGAAGGTTTTCTTGCATCTTTGTTTACATCAGTATTATTCCACATTGAATCCAGTGTTTCTACACAGGTGTGTGTGTGTGAGTGAG